CAAGACCCCCCGAGATCTGGAATGCTTTGCCAAGTACTTTAAGAGAGATCAAATCTTAAATTCATTCAAGTGTCAGCTGAAGTCGTTTCTGCTTTCTAATTAATAAGATGAATACCATGTAAAGTGTCTCTTCCCCCACATTGTCTCTTCAGATTTTTAGTATTAAGAATTATACTGCCATACACTGACAAAACACCTCTTTTTTTCGTTTTGGCGGCAAATTTTTTTGGTACTAATTTGAAAGCCTGATCAGTTACCCTACTTGTGAGAAAAAAATAAAATTGAAACTAACTAGTTTTTGAAAAAATTAGAATTCAAATTTTCTTAAGAACTCTATTTTTGAACGGTTACGTTAACAATAAAACCCTTCTTCTCGAAACTGACGTGAATTTAAAAAACGCGTTTTGTCAACTTATGGCAGTATAGCATTTCATTGTTTCAGACAAGAGTTAGTTGGTGGTTGGGGGTGCTCTGGTGTGGTTTCCTTCTTCTTTCCTATCAAACATCTGTCATCCTGATCTCTCCTCCTTTTTTGTGATTGTTACTGTCTTGTAACACCTCTAATCTCTGGCACTTATATGACCTTATTGTGTTGCAAGTGGGGTAAAACACTTACTAATTTAAAACAAGACAAGAGCTACTCTCAGTCACACTGCACTGTTCTGTCCAGTAATCCTTCCATTTTTTCCTCACCCCCCAGCAACTGAACAAGCGGCAGCTCCGGAGGTCAAGGTCGCTGATGTCGGTCCTGTGGGGCGGGAGTCAGGAGGACGACGACTTCGGCAAGGCCAAGAACATCCGGCAGACGGAGCTGCTGGTGGACCTAAGGGAGGCCATTCTGCAGGTGGCCCGGCACTTCCAGAGTCTGGATCCCAAGAACACAAAAGTGGTGAGTCGATTGTTGTCAGTTCACCCTCACGGGGCTCTCGTGGCCTAGAGGTTAAGTTGTTCACCTCTCATTCAAAGGTACCGGGTTCGAATCCGGGTAGCGGCGGAAAAAATTCCTTCTCTAAAATTGTCTCCTTTCCTGCTCTCTAGCAATAATCTGTCGTCTTCTTTCGTCTCCACTTTTTGCCCCCACCCCATCACCTCCTTTGCCCCCTGCTCTGGGCTCCTGACTCTTTCTGCAGCCTTTCTACTGCTATTCCTTGGAGCCTTCTTACAGATTACTTTACTAGATCGATAACAACAGCTTACTTTCAGCCACACCCCTGATCTTCTGGTAGGAAAGATCTACACCTAGCCTTCTCGGACAAGGGCGAAAAATCTCGGAGGTCCCGCGTGCAAGTTGCGCACATTAAAGGTCCCTTGGTGGTCCAAAATCGATAAGAGGGCAAAATTCAAAATTTCCTACCAACTGAAAATGTTTGGTGTGTCCCGCGTGCTCATATGACCTTATACAGTTGCGAGCACCGTGCAGCACTTACCCCTCCAAAAAAATGTTCACGCTAGTGGTGGGCGACCCAAAGAATACAAAAGTGGTGAGTTGATTTTGTCAGTTGACGCTAGTGATGTTAGGTTCCCCATGATTGAAAGCTAGGAATCGTAGGAATTGACTCGGAACTCATTTTTCCCCTGAAAGCTACCTGTTTTTTTCCAAATAACTTCAGGATTTAGGATTACCTTGATATTTGGAACACTGCCAAGCACTAACCCTGACCCTAACCCTAGCCCTGCCACGAGGCAGAGGTAGGCCATGGGAAATATGAGGAGATGTGTGGAGAGAGACATGAGAGAGATGAAGCTCACTTGAAGCGAGCCAGGAAGGATGGCTCAGGACAGAGATAATTGGGAGGAGCTTGTTGGCGTCGGTGGCCTATTGGTTAGGCTACCGGACTCGTAATCGTAAGGTTGCGAGTTCGGAGGTTCGAGCCGCTGGCCTGACGTTGTGTCCTTGTGAAAGGCACTTTACACGGATTTCCCTCACTTCACCCTGGTGGGAATGGGTACCCGGCCATAGACAGTGAAAGATCTTGTCAGTATGTTAGTGTTTTAGCTCCTATAAATGGCTGCTTGCACTGTATGCTTCCCAGGAAGTTGAGGTTGTTTCAGAATGCTCTCAGGTCTGCTGGGGTAATAGTATAGTATAGATTGTGAAGCGCATAGAGCTTGCTGTTGAGCGGGGATTTGCGTTATACAAAGGCTATCTATTATTATCTATTATGTGGCCTATACCCTGCCAGGGGTGAAAGACATTGATGATGATGACTCTCTTGTAACACCATTAATCTTTGGCACTTATATGACCTAACTGTGTTGCAAGTGTTGTATAGTGCTTACTAAAACTAATCTGTGGGTGCTCTGGTGTGGTTTGCTTCTTCTTTCCTATCAAACGTCTGTCGTCCTGATCTCTCCTCCTCCTTCTATTTTGTGTTTGTTACTCTCTTGTAACACCTCTAATCTTCGGCACTTATATGACCTTATTGTGTTGCAAGTGCCGTAAAACTATTACTAAAACTAAAACTAAAACTAATCTTAAAACTTAATTTGTTTCTACCCTTCAGGTTCTGACGGCAGACTACAGCATGGAGAGTCACGCCAAAGACCTGGAGAACTACGTGAACGTTGCCAGGAACCGACGGAGGAGAGCCAAAGCTTTGCTGGACTTTGAGAGACACGACGACGACGAACTGGGCTTCAGGAAGAATGACATCATCACGGTCAGTTGGAGGGGGTACTTGAAGTGACTGAAATATTGGGGCTGTGTTACTCACTGAAGTTGTCTTTAGGCCATTCCCAAAGGGGGGATATTACCATGTTCTTATTCACAGTAGAATTGTAAATGGGCTGATTTATCAATGTCATGCTCTTACTGTGCTGGAACAATGAAGGGGGAACTGCTGCTTTTTCTTTTCTCATCCTTACTATTGTCATTTTCCTCTGCTTTTTCTGTATGTTTGTCACTCTCTTGTGAACTGCTATTTCCGGGGTGCCTTGATAGTCGAAGCAGACTTTGTGCTGTTGAGGCTAGAGAGGTGAGCAGAGTAAGCCTGATTCCCTGTTTGGACTTCTCTGTTGACATCCACCCCTTGGCGCTCATATGGCCTAATGCAGTTGCGAGCACCGTTAAACCTTACTAAAACTGAACTAAAACTCTGTGTCTCGTGAGTGGTTGGTGGGTGCTCTAGTGTGGTTGCTCTCTCTCTTTCCAATCAAACATCGGTCATCCTTTTCCCTTCTTTTTTTGTGTGTCTTGGTTACTACTCTCGTGTAACACCTCTGATCTTCAGCACTTGTGCGACTTAATTGTGTTTCAAGTGCCGTAAAAAAATTCTCACTAAAAAAAAACACTTTGTGCTTCACAAGCCTGCAGCAGCTCTCCATCAACATAACTGTATTGTTCACCACAGATCATCTCTCGTCTTTGATGGGATTGAGCCTAGTGGGTGGGGAGAGGAGGCTTTAAAACTCACTAAACAACTGGAATCTATTAAGAAATTGAACAAAGGTCATTTGTTTCTATCCATCAAAATAACTATCCATCAAAATAACTATCCATCAACATAACTATCCATCAAAATAACTCTCCATCAACATAACTGTATTGTTCACCACAGATCATCTCCCAAAAAGATGAGCACTGCTGGATCGGCGAGCTGAACGGCCTGCGTGGCTGGTTCCCGGCCAAGTTTGTGGAGGTGCTGGACGAGCGGAGCAAACATTACTCGTCAGCGGGCGACGATTCTGTCACTGAGGCCATCACCGATCTCGTGCGAGGAACGTGAGTCGGCTGCTCTTGTTTTGTCTCAACTCTTTCAATGCCAGAAATGTTCTGTAATTATAATGATAACTTTATCTTATCTGTCAGGTTTTGTTGCAAATACTTTAAAAGTTTATCAGGTTTTGGAGCAAAATTTTAAAAAGTCGAACCGGAAAAGGAAAAATGTTCGTGTCAAAGTATGTGTTGTTTTCCAGGCTGTTGGTATATGTCTCTCTTTTTCTGTCTGTCTCTCTCAGGTTGTGCCCGGCTCTGAAGGCAATTTTTGAACACGGTTTGAAGAAGTCAACGATTCTGGGAGGGAATTGTCACCCCTGGCTGTTTATAGAAGAGGTACGGTGCAGAGTTATTTAAAGAATTAGTACAAAGTTATTTATTGACATTATGGACATTCTTCACACTTGTTTTCGTAATCATTTGTCAGTGGTTGCAATCTTTGTTAATACTTGAAAAGGCTAATATTGTGTTCACAGGTTTATTTTTAATATCTTTGAAAACACATGATTGATCATTTTACAGATAAAAGATTTGATCTTGGAATGAAGTTCCCCTTATTCACAAACTGTTCAGCAGTCATCATCACATAGTACTTAATATAAAATTGGTACTGACTATTTTCAAACATACCAGAAGTGTTTTTGAAATTAAGAAAAATCATGGGCTTCTTGAAGAAGTATTTATTCAGTAATTTTTTTCCTTTTTTTTTCCACTGCTTTGACGAAATAATAATGAAGTCATTTTTGAACTTTTTTAAGGCCTCGATAAAATTATTATTTTGTCATCTTTGTACTTTTAAATTAAGTTATTTTGGTATTTTTTTGACTCAGTAATTTTTTTACTTTTTAAAAAGATTCAGTGATTTAAAACATTTTTGTTTTGTGTGTTCAGGCTGCGACGAGAGAGGTGGAGAAAGATTTCCAGAGCGTGTACTCGCGTCTGGTGTTGTGTAAAACCTACAGGCTGGACGAGGATGGCAAAGTGTTGACTCCGGAGGAGGTTCTTTATAGGGTGAGTCGTTAGGAAGAGGTTCTTTACAGGGTGAGTCGTTAGGAAGAGGTTCTCTACAGGGTGAGTCGTTAGTTGACTCACAGTGGTAAAATGAAATGCGTCTTGTGGTTCGGCTTCTAGGTTCATAATTGTGGTTGGCAGGTTTAGGGCACAGTTCAGTTCAACATTGTGTCTTTGAGAAAGGAATTTTACAGAAATTTTTGGATTTGGCTCAGTCCTTTCAGAGATGGACATTTAATTCGGAGGTCTCACCTTTTTAATTAAAAAAAAAAGTTCTAGATCTTTTACTTTTGAAAAGAAAACCCGTGTGAAGGTAGTTGTTGATCTGATTCATTCTTGTACCCTTCTCCTTCCGAGACCTAACATTGACAACACACTCTATGGAACATTACAGCAACTGCAGCAAACCTGCACTTATCACTACATGGCATTGGACAGAAGGGCGAGAGCCCAGCTGTTGTTGGATTGATAACAACATTACAACAACAACAACATTCACTCTTGAGTATGAATTGGTGCCTGTGAAAGAAAAACAGAAAAGTTTAAAATACTTTTTATACCTGCTGATGTATTTAGTCATTTTCTTATTTTACTGGATGTTTCAGGCTGTCCAAGCTGTGAACATCAGCCACGACGCGTGCCACACACAGATGGACGTGAAGCTCCGCTCCCTCATTTGCTGTGGTCTCAAGTAAGTTAACCCTGTGGGAGATAAGTGGTCGCTTCAGAACTGTTTGGTCCAAAGTCAAAGTGGCTCTTTACTTAAGTCCACTATGATGGACAAAATAGTTCTGAGACAACAAAGTAATGACATTTTTTTGTCAGTTTGGCGTAAAAAAAATTTTTTTGGTCATAGTTGCCTCAATGGGTATCATTCTGATATTGCAAAGTTTTCAAAGTCAAAAATGCCTCAGAGGATATAAGTATATATTTCACATTTCTGTGTTAGCTCTGATATTGACATCAGTGTTTGGGGTCTAGTAGTTAAGCTTTTCACCTTGGTATGAATGAGATGAGAGAGAGCAGTTCCCCCACATGAGAAGATTTATAAATATTGAGCTTCTCTGTCTCTTTGGTGGGGTGTTGTATCCTTCTCTTCTCGGATTGGCCCCAAGAGGCAGGGTTGAAGCAGCCAGACTCTTGAATTGCATTGATGATGTCAATTGGGGTGGGAGATATTTTCAACGTAAAAAGCAGAGTGTTATGTGGATCTTTTTGTTCTCAGTACTTAATCTCTTATCCCCTCTACAAATCTTTCGTTTTCCAAAATCACTCATCTTTTCCATGTTTCTCTTGTCGCCTCTTCCATAAATTTCTCATCTGTTCCACAAATCTCTCTTCCTCTCATCCTTCCTAATTTCTCATCACTTCAGTAGATCTCTCATTGCTTCCTCAAATTTCTCATCCCTACTCTCCCATCTTTCATCCCTTCCTCAAATATCTCATGGTAAATCAATCCCTAGTCGTCCCTTCATTAATGAATCTCTCATTCATCCCCCCGTCGCGGTGTCCAGTGAGCAAGTCCTCCACCTGTGGCTAGAGACCCTGTGTTCCTGCATGGACATCGTAGAGAAGTGGTACCACCCTTGGTCCTTCATGAGGAGCCCGGGCTGGGTGCAGATCAAGTGTGAGCTCAGGTGAGTGCGTGCGTCTGTCGTCTTTACTTTATTGGTTGTCTGTGTGTTGTCTTTGTGAGTGCATGCGTCTGTCGTACTTGTGGGTCTGTGTGTTGTCTTTTTGTGTTTGTGTTGTGTTTGTTCGTCGTCTGTGTCTATTTGTGTGTTGTATTTTCTTTGCGTGTCTGCACGTTGTTTTTTGTGATTGTGTGTAGTGTTGTACCTTTTCTATGGGAGGTCACACTCCTAAATCAGGAAAATGATCAGAAAGTGCAGAGAGCTAATACTGATGTTTCGGGATCGGATTAGTTTTGAAGGGTTTCGAAAAATTTTCTTTATGAAATTTCAAGGTCTTAACTTGAATGTCATTGGAGCCTTAGATTTTCGCTCTAACTGTCTTTAAAGTACCTTTAAACATAGAAATACAATCTTTGAAAAGTCTCATTGCAACTTCTGTTCTTTTTTACCCTTTCTGTGTTGTCTTTCTGTGACTTGTATACACTCCTCTAAACAACTGTGGCTGTTGGTGGGCACTTACTGCCTGAGCCTGTGATGAACTATGTCCAAGATTTTCTGATGCACTATAAAGATCTAAAAATAGTCAGTACGTTAACGTTGACCCGAGATAGAAATGAAATTAACTTTTATATAATTCCTTCATACCTTAATGATTGAATATTGGAAATGGAAGTTACAAATATCTGTAATTCAACCAGTTCTAGAGTTATTCGTTTTGGGACCAAAACAATTTATAGTGTTGCACATTGTATTTTCTCTATAAAGTATAAATTTAGAGTATTTATTTCTAGAGGTCTTCCTTTCCATGTGATGGATAAGTCTTATAACAATATATTGTTTTGTGTAAAAGTGTTTATTAACTTATGATTGCATCAAAAGCACCGACTAAAACGAGGGCACCGATGTCTCTGTATGTTGCAAAGAGAACAAGAGAAGTAATCCATTTTTCTTGTAGGTGAAATATATAGACAGTTACTTCCCTTGCGGTGCTTTGCCTGAGTAATAGCGTTTCTGATGGCGAGAGCATTTTTATGTCAAGGACTATTGGAATATCAGACTAAGAGCTTGTGGCAATATTCTTGTGATTTCCGTAAGCTGAAATAAATGCTGCCTCGTATACACCTTCCATTCCGAGAACAACACGTTTTTAAGCTTTCCGAAAGTTTCTCTCTGGTTTTGGTCATCTTTAAATCTCGACATGATTCCCAGATATCAACAGCGGATAGCTTTATGTATAGATTTTCCAAAGTTTGCTGTTTCTTGGTTTGTGGGACTAATCTTTATCCTACAGACTGGTTTTTTTTGGTCAGAAAATCCAACAACCTGAACTGTTAATATACAGACAGAGAGAGACCTGCCATCCGTGTCTAGGTGGTTTGTATCTTCTTTTTAAGAGTCGAAAAGTAATTCCAAACATCTCATATCTAATTCTGCTTTCGACAATCTTCTTTATATTTAAAATTGTCGTAGTTTGAAGTAAACGACCAGGAGAGGTGATATATTGAAGTGGACCAGTCTTACAGTTGTTTAGAGGAGTGTATGCCTTGTTGTTGTTTCCACATTTGAATTATTATATTATGCTGTACCTCTGAACAAATATAATTAGTATTACATAAAGTCACATCTTTATTGGATTTTCACCATGATCTGTTTAGATGTGTCAATTATCAACTGTGTTCATCTTTCTGTTATATATTTAGTTGAAATTTAGGACTAAGATTGATTTTTTTAAAAAGATTTTATTTTATTTTACTCATTTATTATCTGTACAAATCCTCTTTATTATTACTAATAGATATTTAATCTTCTGTCATACTTGAATGACGTATCTTTCAAGTCTATCCTTTTAGTTCTTGTCTTCTAAATTATTTTTATATCCTTATAATTTACAAAGAAAATTATGTGAAGACCACAATGGGGAACACACTCAGTCATTAACTCAAAATTATTACAATGTACTGCCTTTAGCTCATCTTCCTTTCTTTTTTGCTCCCAAAAAGATCCAACTGAACTATGACCTTTGCCCTGGGTAGAGTTGAATCTGCTCTAATGGCTGCCTGTGTTAGACATCACCTTAACAAATGGCCACTTCCCATTTCTTCTCTACCAGAGTTTTTAACACTATAATGACACTGGGTAAGATGGCCACCTGTCTAATAAGGCCACTTGTGTCCTTGAAGATGGGTTCATATGGTCGTCATAGACAGTTCTGACTGTAGCTTTGAAAAAAAGGATAAAGTGGAAATGACAATTCATTGTCAAGTTTTGTTTTGAATTTGAACTCATTCATTCAGGTTCCTCTATCTAACATCTGAAATTGTGACTTGATTGTTGAACGATTGTGGTCTTCATAAGTTGTTTTTTTTTGTTTTTAAAAAAATGTAGAGCAGAGAATGCCTGTAGACTAGAGGTTGTAGGTGTGAGATCCAACAGTAGCACAGACATTGTACGTTATGTTTAGATAACTCTTATATTTGTTTCATTAGTGATAACTCTTTTTCATATACTAAAGAACTCTGTTCCTTACAGCATCAGTAGGGAAACATGATGGACATCTGTGCTGTGCCAATTTACCCCCTCCAAAAAAAAAAAAAAAAAAAAAGATCTGGTATCTGTATGAAGTAAGGTTAATTTACGATGAAGTCTTTAGCTCTTTTGGATCTCATTGGGGCGATGATTAATTTAGAAGCTATTTTTGTTTTCTTTTCCACTCCCTTTTCATGCTTTTGTTGATCAGAATACTCGTGGCCCTTTTTGCCTGCTGTTTTCTTGCCTGCTGTAGTATGAAATCACCATGTTTTTTTCTGGAATGAATAACGCTTTGACTTTTTGTGTCTCACCTTCATCTGCTGATGTTTCACTTTGAGAGCGATTACCATGATACTTGATTTTAATAGACTGATCCATGATTTTAATAGACTGATCCATGATTTATGATTATAATAGACATTATTTGAGCCATGATATTCGATTTTAATAGACACTGAATAATATTAAGATTCTTTGCATCAAGTGTCAGTACAGCTTAAGTATAAGTAAATACAATTAATGATGTCAGAAAGGCCCAACACAAATCTGAAAACGCATCTGATTAATTAATAATGCAAAGAGAACTAGCACAGACCTGAAAGTCCAGTTTTGTCTGTTTTGCAAGTTCAGAGTTAGACATCAGTGTGTGGTTTTGGTGTTTGGTGGCACGTCTTTCTCAC